CGTTACTGGTGTTACTGGTGTTACTGGTGTCCCTGTACTGGGGGGTCCCGGGGGTCTCCACTTATGGATTCCGCAATTGTATCCAATCCCCTTGGAACCCCCAAATTTTTCGCTGTGTCCAACGTTTCCTGGATTCGGTGCCGGCGGCGGTCGAAGATCTACCAGAAATCACCACATCCCTCAACTTATCTCACAACCTTCTCCGGCGGTTGTCCCCCTCCTCCTTCTCCAACCTCCCCCTCCTCAAGACCCTCGACTTGACCTACAACCACTTGGTCATGGTCATGAGGAGAAGTTTCACCGGGTTAAATTCATTAATTCATTTAGATTTAGCTCATAACCGGTTGGTTGAGTTGGTTGAAGGTTCTTTCCATGGGTTGACCAACTTGACGTGGTTACGGTTGGATCATAACCCATTGGTCAACTTGGCTCCTAATGTCTTCCAACCGTTGGTCAACCTCTCTTGGTTGTCTCTTCGTGGTGGTCGGTTGGTTACCATCACGCCGGTAACCGTGGCGATCGGGGGTTTACCGCGCTTACGGCATCTGGATCTTTGCGGTAACAACTTGTCGGCGTTGGGACCTGGAGGAACGTTACCACCCAAGCTCTTCACCCTACGGTTGTGTAACAACTCGTTGGAAGAGTTGGCCAACGTGAGTCAAGGCTTTGTAGCCAATTTAAGGACTCTTGATCTTTCTTATAACAACATCTCATCACCGACGGCGTTGGCTCAACTCAACCTACGTCATCTCAAACATCTCCAGTTGGCTGGGAACCCCTTAGATGTCTTCCAACTCTTGGAGATATCAGATCTACCAGCCAAGAGTTTGGATTTCACTGGGTTAGCGTTGAGTTTTGGTGGTGGAAGTGGTGGAATCGGTGAAGTTTGTCGTCGTTTAAAAGTGGAGAAGTTACATCGGTTGAATTTACGCCGTAACGGTCTCAAGATGTTACCGGATGGTGCTTTGGTTGATTGTCCATCCATTGAGATGTTGGATTTAACCGGGAATCGTTTGAGATGGTTGAGATGTATTGGGAGTTTATTAGGAGAAAGACAACGTTTGGAGTTGAAGATCTTGGTGGTCGAACACAACTTACTCCGTCGTCCCCCAACTTGTCACCGGTTCAATCCGGTTTTACCTCAATTACTCAACATCTCGCTCCGGTTTAACCGCATCTTGACGGTAGGACCACGAGCTTTCGCCCACACGCCTGGTTTGAAGACCTTGAGGTTGGATGTCAACGGCTTGGCCAGGTTGGATCGTGAAGCTTTGGTGGATCTAAGAGACTTGGAGGTGTTAAGGTTGGATAATAATTTATTGACCGATCTCTACCCAGGTTCCTTCAGCCAATTAAATCGATTAATTACCCTCAACCTTCGTAACAACCGCGTGGCCGTTCTCTTCCCAGGTGCCTTCACCGGGTTGAAGAGTCTCCAGACGTTGGATTTGGGTGGGAATAATTTGAGATACCTACAAGGAGAAGCTTTGAAAGGATTGGCAAGATTAAAACATCTTTATTTAGATCGGAATCGATTACAAGAGATCAACGATGAGTCCTTCCACCACGTTCAATCAACCTTGGGCGTCTTGGATCTCCGAGCCAACTCGTTGCGTTATCTCAGCCGACGACCTCGTCGATGTCCACCTTTCCATCATCTCCATGGTCTTTATGACTTAAAACTTCAAGCTCAACAACCTTATGGATTAAAAGTGATCCCTCAAGGGTTTTTTCAAGGTTTAAGGTCTCTCCGTTCTCTTTATCTCTCCCAAAATGGTCTCACCACCATCCCGGCCGACGTCTTCGATGACTTGGTGGAGTTGAGATACTTGACGTTGGCCGATAACGGTGGTGGGATGGGGAATCTCCCAGCCGGGGTCTTCAAGAACTTGATGAAACTAAAGAGTTTGGATTTGGAAAATGTTGGGTTGAGAAGTTTAAAGGGGGAAGTTTTGGGGAATTTGAGTCGTTTGGAATGGTTACAGTTGGCCAAAAATGAGTTGAGGACGGTGGAGAGAAGGTTGGGTGAAGATCTACCAAGTTTGAGGTATTTAGATCTTCGGAAATGTCCCCTGAGTTGTTCTTGTGAGAATTCTTGGTTGCCAGGTTGGTTGGATCGAGCGCCGATGCAAGTGGTTTATCTCTACAACTATAGTTGTGGTGATGATGGTGGTGGTGGTGGTGGTGGGACAACCTCGAATCTACGTGATCCTGGTGGGTCAACCTCAAATCTATGTGCTTTTGATGGGTCAAACTCGTATCTAGAAGATTCTGGTGGGTCAACCTCTTATCTACATGAGTCAACTTCTCATCTCCATGATTCTGGTGGGTCAACCTCAAATCTCCATGATTCTGGTGGGTCAACTTCTCATCTACATGATTTTGATGGGTCAACCTCAAATCTACGTGGTTTTGATGGGTCAACCTCATATCTACATGATTCTGGTGGGTCAACTTCTCATCTACATGATTTTGATGGGTCAACCTCAAATCTCCATGATTCTGGTGGGTCAACTTCTCATCTACATGATTTTGATGGGTCAACCTCAAATCTACGTGGTTTTGATGGGTCAACCTCTTATCCACATGATGTTGATGAGTCAACCTCTTATCTCCATGATTTTGATGGGTCAACTTCTTATCCACGTGATTCTGGTGGGTCAACCTCTTATCTCCATGATTCTGGTGGGTCAACTTCTTCTCCACATGATTCTGGTGGGTCAACCTCTTATCCACATGATTTTGATGGGCCAACCTCGTATCTCCATGATTCTGGTGGGTCAACCTCAAATCTACATGGTTTTGATGGGACAACCTCGTATCTTCATGATTCTGGTGGGTCAACTTCTTCTCCACATGATTCTGGTGGGTCAACCTCAAATCTACGTGGTTTTGGTGGGTCAACTTCTCATCTCCATGATTTTGATGGGTCAATCTCTCATCTACATGATTCTGGTGGGTCAACCTCAAATCTACATGGTTTTGATGGGACAACCTCGTATCTTCATGATTCTGGTGGGTCAACTTCTTCTCCACATGATTCTGGTGGGTCAACCTCTTATCCACATGATTTTGATGGGCCAACCTCGTATCTCCATGATTCTGGTGGGTCAACTTCTCATCTACATGATGTTGATGGGTCAACCTCAAATCTACATGATTCTGATGGGTCAATTTCTTCTCCACATGATTTTGATGGGCCAACCTCGTATCTCCATGATTCTGGTGGGTCAACCTCAAATCTACGTGATTTTGATGGGTCAACTTCTCATCTCCATGATTCTGATGGGTCAACTTCTCATCTCCATGATTCTGGTGGGTCAACCTCAAATCTCCATGATTTTGATGAGTCAACTTCTCATCTCCATGACCTTGATGGGTCAACCTCGTATCTCCATGAGTCAATGTCTTATCTCCATGATTTTGATGAGTCAACGTCTCATCTAGATGATTTTGATGGGTCAACCTCTTATCTCCATGACTTTGATGGGTCAACCTCGTATCTACATGAGTCAACCTTGTATCTACGTGATTTTGGTGGGTCAACCTCTTATCTAGATGATTTTGATGGGTCAACCTCTTATCTCCATGATTCTGGTGGCTCAACAACTTACCTCCATGACTTTGACACCAGAGTTTGTTTCTTGGACGTGGGTTTTTACCTCTTCACCATCACGACGCCGTTGGCGTTGACCTTGTTGACGTTGCCCTTGTTGCATCACCGAGGTTCATGGTGGTTGAAGTATCGTTGGTTCCTCTTGAGAGCTTGGCTCAAAGCGGGTCGAAGACGAGAAGAAGGTCAATACATCTACGATGGGTTCCTCTCTTATAACTCAGCCGATGAGAGATGGGTACTGGGTAAACTGGTGCCTGAACTGGAACAAACTGGAGTGAAACTTTGCGTCCATCAAAGAGATTTCCAAGCGGGAAGGAGTTTGGTGGATAATATCGTGGAAGGGATTGAGAAGAGCAGGAAAACCCTTTGCGTGGTGAGTGGGAATTATCTGAGGAGCGAATGGTGTCGCTTTGAGATCCACGTGGCCACCGAGAGACTTTTCCGGGAATTCCGAGATGTTTTGGTTTTAATTTATTTGGAAAAAATTCCGGAAAGTCAATTGGAAATTTATCATGGGATGGGGAGGGTCTTACGGCAAAGGAACCATCTCCGGTGGCCACAAGAACCGGCGGCGCAAAGACTCTTCTGGGCTAAGCTGGAGAGGGCGCTGAGGAGCGGGGAGGAAGAGGAAGAGGAAGTGGAGAAGGAAGTGGAACAAGAGGAGGAAGAGGAGGAGGAAGAGGAAGGAGGCTACAGGATTAAGATGCCGTAGGGTGGTCGTCGTGTTTTGGTGTCACCAGGAACATCACACGGCACCAGGAAG